TCACAAAAATGAACAAAGGATGTACAAGAATCACCTTCTTGACCTGCAGAAAAAGAGAAAAAAAGGGAACACACAAAAATTACAACAGAACCAAAATATCACTGCGCCAACCGCATAACTGCAACAATTTTGCCAAAAAGCACACAGTTTTAATTCATAGTGCATTTAGTGCCAACCACAGCCTTAGGTTATGTGTTAAAATGCCCAAGTCCATACTCCCAGAGAGCCCCTACATGCGCTTGTGTATGTAAGGTTTCTCTATAGGAGTGTTCAATAGTGATTATGAGGGATCACAGACCTGCCCCCAATGACAATTTGTTAGTTTTTTTTAATTAAACTATATTTGGTTTTAAATGTTAATATAACAATTACTTCATTCTCACAACAATAAACAGAAATATCTAAAACCTCCATTAGACGTGTTAGGTCTTAGAAATTAATATTTTTTCATTAACTGTGATACATTTGAAAGTGGAATTCGGTAAGCATAATTATTTAAAGAATTAAAGCTCAATTAAATCACACAGGGATCAAATAAATGCTCAGAGCCAATCAGGTGGATTTATTGGGTGGAAACGTAATAAAGTCACAAGGCTCCATTGCAAGGGAAGCATGTGTGTGAGGTTTGTGATTATCTGAACAGCCCTAAAACATCTGACTCCAACTGTGTCAGAGGTAATCATTGCTGTTTTAGTAATGCTGCATGGACACTCAACTGCTGACTCATTGTGTCTAAAGCCTCACAGGCGGCAGTTAGGGCAATTCATGAAGTTTAAAAAAAAAGTTTTACAATGGAGCCAATATTAGGAATGACAAGCACAATATGTACTTTGACAAAGGCTAGTCAGCTGAGACAGGTTACCATAAAGCAGAGCAGAGAGGACATTCTGCTCTCAGTTTCTAGGTGAAATATTAGACAAATATGACCAACTCATTCTTGAACAGTTTGTTTTCTGAATGTGAAATTTCTCTTTTGCTGATGTATTATTTATTTTGTAAAACGCATTTTTTTCTCCTCAAAGTTTAAAGACCCAAAATAACTTTTTTTGCTAATTAACTGTATAATTGGGCATTTACAAATGCAATCTTTCTGCTTCTGTGCATTTTTGACATGTTTGTGTAAACTTGATTAAATCTAGAATCTAGGTCTAGTGCTGCCCCCTGTGGCAGAACAGCGGCTACTGCATTTTAAACTTGTGATTGACTGGGGCTGGAACTATTTCACGTCATCGGTACAGTCTCCTCCTCTTTAAAGAGCAAGTCACCTCCTACAAGAAACTTACTTCACTTCCGCTTCATGTTTGAAAAATGCAACAAATGCTGTTGCCTAGCAGACCAAGAGGGCGGAGCCACTAACAAATACACACACACACACACAGGCTCACAACGGCATTGTGACATCATAATGTACCAGTTTACATCATAGCATACCTCTTAGCCAATAGCAGTGGCAGATTTAAATTCAAATGCAGTGCAGTTTTTACCTGACAACGGCACAACACTGACAGTTTTTGGCAGAATATTTACTTTTTAACTAAGATGCACTGAAGTACCAAATTATTGACTACACATGTCTGCAGCACGATTAGACACACATTTGCATAGTTTATCAGCAAAAAAAAAAAGTTGATTTGGGGGTGACTTGCTCTTTAAAGAGTAAATTGTAACATTTGAAATGAACAGTAAATCTGGTTCAGTGATGGTGGAAATGTTTATGTTTATGTATCTAGCAGATGCTTTTTTCCAAAGCGACTTACAAGTGATTATCGGCATGTTGCCCTTGAGGCTAACAACAACAATAAGAACAACAACTTGACATCAATCATTGAGAGGAGGGAACAAAGGAGTGAACGGTAGAGAGGGGTATGGGTACAGGTTTTGGTCAAATTGTTAGCATGAAACAGCACCTTAAAGGTCAATATTATGTTTTGGCTCCGCCTAAGAGGCCAGGTCTTAAACACACTTGTTAACAAAACTGATCTTTTGCTATAAAACTAATCTAACTTTTATAACAGAATTTACTGTTTAACTCAGTCGGTATAAAATGACATAATTTTTGGCGCCTACAGAATCTGACTTATATAATCGTATTTGTCTAGCGACACCACCGAGTCATCGGTGATCCATTTAGTCACTTTTAAACCCGCACAAAGTTACTTGTGACTGAATTGAGCTCAACTGATACAAGACACATCAGGAAAAAATAATCCTGGGCATCAAATCTCTTTGCAGCATTTTCACATTAAAAAATGTTCAAGATTTTATATTTTTCACAGATTTTTAAATTACTTATATTGCAAACTGTGGTTCGTATTAACCAGGCCAGTTTTTAACTCAAACATGAAGACGTGAGCACCTGTCCAACCTACTATCACTCATTTCTTGTTTGCTTGAGGATTTGTTTTGAAGGTTTTGTTGTTGATTTACAAAATCCTCCTTTGTGTTCTTTTGATCTCAACCCCAGTCAAGTGATTTATCTTTACCCCCTTTTTAAAATTTGATCAGAAAACACATTTGTGTTTTTTTTAAATGATTATTTTATTTTACTCACGAGTTTTTTCCCTCTAATTTTTATTCAGTCAATTACAAAGGTGCTTACATAATTTTAACCAGGGCTCCAATTACCAGGAGAAATTTCCATAAGAGGGCGGGGAGGGAATTGGATCATTTTTTGGGCTGTGTTAGTTTAGGGCTTCCTTTAGGGGGAGCTGTGCTCCCCTTAGCTCCCCCGTAATTCAAACCCTGTATTAAATTTTTTCCCCCTGAAACCCTGATTATTAATATCAAATTGTGCTCAAAAATTAATTTTACAATTTTATAGTAAAAATGTAACAGGATAACAATTAAGAACAATGTTTTATTGTAAACAAGAACTTTTGTGAAGTTTATGGCAAGTGGAAGCATTGAAATACAAAAGTATGATATTTGTGTTATTTTTCTTTGGTTTCTGGGGATTTAACTGCCGTTTCTGTATGATATACATCTAAGTTCACATCCAATTTGTCATGAGCTGGTCGCTCACCTGTGTGTGTTACAGGTTTGCAGTGTGACCAGCAGTAAATATAAAAGTCAAGTGTGTACTTTAAAATTTGTCATCATGAAAATTACACTTTGAAATACAAGGAAAATGTATCAAACATTCTGTCAGGAAATGACTTCTCGTCAGCTTTTTTTCTTTTAATTCGACAAGAATTAGACAAAAACAACTTTTCAAATGTTCTAAAAGCATCATTACATTTTTGTGTTGTTTTTATTTTTATTTTACAGATGCATGGTGAGTTCATTGTTATTTTATTCTTCTTACAAACACATGTGCACAAATAAACCTTCAAATCATTCACAGCCTGCTGCTGAGTTGTAAAACTTGACAAAAATCTCAAACAGAAAACTGCTGCATCATCCTGAGTTGCTTGATCAGTAATTCTTCATTTACAGATATAAAACAAGGCTTTGTGGCATATTTGAAAGTAAAATTCATGAAAATAAATGCCAAAATATTCTTTTTGAGTGACTTTTGAGGTTTCACAAGGTATTTTTAGCTATTGCGTTTAGAGATCGGACTTTGCTCACATCTGCCACCTTCAGGCCGTACTCAGGCGCTGACAAAGTGGCTCCCATCCTCACACAGGGGTTCCTGCAAATGAACAGAAAGAATTCAACTGTAAAAATTCTGTCTCTTCATTTTTAAAAGGAAAAGGGAAAAAGTATCTTAGCTTTTATGTTATTCAAAACTGGTATCAAACAAACCTGAATTTCATTTCGGAGTCCCTGCTGGAGCTCGCCGAGCAGTGAAACTCTTGAGCCCCCGACCCTTCGAGTATCCTCTGCAGGTTCCTCTCTGTGATACCCCCTCCTGTTTATATAAACAATGCTAAAATACACACACAGATACACACACGCACACACTCACCAAAAAGTGATAAAACTGACCTGGCATTACTGTTATTCTGTCTTTGGCCTGTTGCGTAGAGATGACAACGTTAGAAAACCATTGAAGAATAGCAAAAGATGTGCAATTTCATGTCTGAAAACAAAACTGCAAAAGAGTTGCAGAAAAATTATTCACCTTTCAAGCTATAATGTCTCTAAAACAATCAGATCCTTTGACATTGCAATGATGTCAGACAGTGCCGTAATCTCATGTGGGACGCTAAGGAGCCCAATATGCCTCAGTTAACATGTTAAAACAATCCAAATTAATAAGAAACTTTTAGATTAACTCACTTTATAACAACTATTTTTAAACCCTGATATGTTATACATCAGAACTTTTAACGTTGTGTTGTACGTACTTGGTCAATGAGGCGTTTAATGACCGGAAGCCCCTCCAACGCTGAGCAGTCACAGCCACTTGTCAACACACGCTCGAACCCCAATGTTATTAGAGCCTCCAGAGCAACAGCTGGGTCATGAACCATGTCAAAAGCTGCAGAGAGATCAAGAGCGTTAAAACAACTTCAGACACTCAGTAAAATGTTTAAGATGATTTTTTAGGTACGCTCAATAATTGATATTTTTTTTACCAACATTCGACATGATCTAACTCTTGATTTTTGATATAAACGAAAGTTGAACTATCAAGTCAACTAAAGATTGCAACGTTTTGGTGCTCCTGCTAGTGGCAAAAACACAACTATCACCCAAGTCATTGCAGCAAACGCCTAAAGATAAGAATTTCTGAGAGACATTTGGGTTTAGGAGTATGATTCAGTAATGGTTCTTTGTGATGAAATCCAGGCTTTATGTCCTCTCGAACCAAACAATCTTCAGTCTCCTATCTTACAAAACATTAACTCAGTAGAATAATGCTTGTGAGCGGTTCAGCCATTATTCCAGGTCACAGGAAGGTGTAGAAGGCTCTGTTCCCAGGCGGTGTTGCATTTAGCGCCTACTTGGCAACAAGATAAGTGTCATGGATTTTATCAATATGTTTATCAATAACCCATTTCCTATAGTCGGAGAGAAAAAGGAGACAATGAACAACAAGTCAAACAGTTTTAACTGTGGCAAGATGCAGGAGGCAAAATGCCCCGAACATCTGTTCACAGACTTTATTTATAGAGATGGAAGTGGAGAAAAAAAAGAGAGAGAGATTGTGTCTGTGTGTGGGAAGTCAAGAATGTGTGTGTGTGTGTGTGTCTTGTGTGGGTGTGTCTGAATGAGTGAGCATGCAGAGAGGCATAGAACAATACATTTACATTCAGTTGATTGAGTCCATGATCAAGAATTAATAAACATATCAATTTGTCCATAACAGTAACGCCGGGGACACACCGGCCGCGGAAGCGCCGCGAAAATGGGACCGCCTTCATTCGGCGCCCTTGTTAAGCTATTCTATAGACCACATGGGCCGCCTCGCGCCGCGAATCGCCTCGCGCCGGCGTGCGCCGTGCAGCGATCATTTCGGCGTTGGCTCTATTTTTTCGCGAGCCGCGAGTGAATCGCGTCAATTCTGGCAGGAAGTCAAACCTAGACATAAGAGGCAGGCCAGTAAAGTTAACAAAATAAAGCATTTCAAAATAAAATTCCGCAATAGTCAAATGTGTTCGTAATCAGACACTGCAGAAAAACCACACGAACACACACACACATCGAACTTGTGTGCGTGTGTGACCACGTGAAGGGAGTGTGGTTTTGGGTGTCTTTTTTCCGGAGCAAACAGGACAGAGAGGCAGAAAGTCTGAGGCAAGTAGTTAAGATGGATGACTTTAAATTAATTATGGAAGTTGAGAAACACAAGGAGCTGTACGACCCCCGAAAAACCTGGTTATTTATGTACCCATGTCGGAAGAAACTGCTAGCATACAGCTGCAGAATTGGAGCGGGTTCCAAGAGATTCAACTGGCAGAAACAACTCATACCATAGGTTCACACACACACACACACACACACACACACACACACACACACACACACACACACACACACACACACACACACACACACACACACACACACACACACACACACACTCAAACGTAGAGGAAAAGAGCTGAGAAAAGGCAGAGAGGAAATGGAGGACACCAAGTGTTTAAAAGAAAAACTACAGCTGAGCCGAGGCGCGCCTCGACTGGGGCGCGTCTGATCTGAACTGAGGAGCGGCGAGCAGCGGCCGAATTTCGTGAGCGATTCGCTTCTCGGCGCTTCCGCGGCCGGTGTGTCCCCGGCGTAAGCCACTCAGCCCAAGCTCCAGGTGGCTGAAAACCCTGAAAAGTCAAAGCAGAACCAGGCTTTGTGACTGCAGCAGGGCCAAGTAACGGGGGCCTCAAAAGAGCCACAATCCAAGCTGGCTCAGCAGACACAAACCAACTTGACTGTACTAGCAATCCAGTCCGAAGAGTCTCCTGTTTTAGCCTGTAAACTGTTTTAAAAACTGTAAACTATATTACTCCTTGTTCCTGCCGCCTATACCGAATTACTATTCACTGAAAATGTTCCGGTATTAAGTTAATTCATGGAGACCCCCCTCCCTCCCTACACGGAGACTGAGACCGGTGAGACGCTTTGCTCCTGCAGCACCTCCCACTCCTGTCCTCATGTTCTTCTGTATTTTTATTCCTAAACTTAAAACAGGATCTCCAGACAGACTCCTGAATCCTTCTGTGAGCGCTTCTCCTCAGGAACGTCAACACACAACACTCACCTCCGCTGACTCAGTGACGTAGGGGACGGATTTAATGCAACATGACCGCTCAGACTGCAGTCGCTTTCAAAAACATCAGATATGTATCAGAATCAGTACCACATATGAAAGTGACATGGACAGGATTTTAAATAGATATGATCGGTGCTGTTCAGACTGTCATCAAAAAGCAGATACGGATCGCATGCGGGGAAAATATCGGATTTGATGCACTTTTGCCTGCAGTGTGAACGTAGATCAAGTCTCTGGGCGACACCATATTAAACACGACGTTTCCTTCTACATGAGCCCGTCAGGACAAAATGCATTTACCGATTTGTAACAAGCAGCTACAAAACTTTTGCTGGAGTTTGAACGATCTGACAAAGTACTCATTCGAAAGTTGTGCTCCCAGGGATTTTTGACCCTAATGGCCATCCGTTGGCAAGATCTTACTCATACACAAAAATACTGCATGCTTGCAATAATTTAGGTATGTAGTGCCTTCTATCGCCAGGGATTGTTGATAAAATGTGGGCGATGTACATATGTTAAGCTAGGCTAATAGTTACCAAGATGTGCGTATTAGTTACTAATGTTTTTTTTTCTGTTTCTTCATATTGAAGCTACGATGATGACATTTAAAAGTCTTCAGTTAAGAAAAGCAAGCCTTGGGTGAAGATTTGTTTTATGCTTCCTAGCTGTCCACATCCTATGAGGACAGCTAGGAAGCTCACAACAAAAGGGCAGACTTCACAAGTTGTGCCAAACATAATTAAATATCAGAAAAACTTTACCTCAGATCTGCCGTATTTTGACATTTTGAGAGAAAGGAGAAGTAACTAAAGAGTTTGATGTATAATATATGTGGTATGTGTACGGTGTGTAAAAGTTGGGTCATCAAGTACTGGCCGATATTAATAGCAGACCAATGTTATCGGAAATCCCTAATTAAAAAAATTAAAATACAACTTTAATTCTGTCGAGGACCAGTGATTGTTATCTTGTATAAATGCTAGCAGCTGTAGATTTTAATTGTGTGTTAAATGAAAACAACATTACCTCGATGGAAGGTCACAGGCAAAGGACGAGCAGCAGCTGGTGAGTAAAAAAAGGGAAAGAAAAGACCATTATTTTAAATATATTTAATTAGCAAAGCTATATTAATAGCTGTTTTGTGAATTGATTTCTTTTTTTTAACTGAGAAAAGTTTGAATGATTTCATGGTTCATTTCTTGCACGATGCAGATCAACTGTTGATGATTTTATCTCTATGATGCATATCGATGTTAAAAAATTATAAAATTGTCACGTCTTATTGTGAAAATAATCTGAGTGTATGGGTTCAGGCACACACTTGTAATCTATAAACATGGAAAGTGAAAAAGCCATGTTGGAATTTATGTCATGCATCACCTCTTATTCATAAATGGGATGGTAAATGATATAGCGCCTTCTAGAGACCTGGAACCCCCCAAGGTGCTTTACAACACAGTCAATCACCCATTCACACACACACACTGGTGGGGGATGAGCTACGATGTAGCCACAGCTGCCCTGGGGCGCACTGACGGAGGCGAGGCTGCCGAGCACTGGCGCCACCGGTCCCTCTGACCACCACCAGCAGGCGGGTTAAGTGTCTTGCCCAAGGACACAACGACACCGACAGACTGAGCAGGGCTCAAACCTGCAATCTACCGATTATGGGAGCACTTAACTCCTGTGCCACCATCGCCCCAGTAATCGGTTATTTTGAGTGGCAATTCTTTTTCTGAAAATGTAAAAATAAATGTAAATTCTTGAAAATATTCATTATTACTAATTTTCCTAGTTAGAATAGGAAGTGCATATTTTTATGAATTTAGTATTTTATTCCCCGATATTTCAGAGCTTACGTTTGAGGTTTTTCTTATTTGGAATTATGCAGAAAAAGGAATTAAATCGTCAATCTGCTCAGCCTCTACAGAATTGGGCTTTGAGAGCTGTGACACCATCAGGAAATGCCTCATTAATTTAGTGTGTTTAGTCTTTTATCCTGCAGGATACATCTTTTGGATTGTTGCAGGGACATGTCCCTGCAACAATCCAAAAGGTGTATTTTTGCATGTTTTTTTAAACTGAATTTTAGTATTTCTTGTGCCACACCACTCTGCCATGTCTGTCCGTTTTAGAAAAGTAACACGCTTTCATCAGTCTTTGTTGGAGATTTCTATTATTTTTAGATCTGCTTTGTCTTTAGTTCACTCCTAACAGCTGACAGATTACACTGCCTTGAAGTGGAAGCTCTAACTCAGTGCAGTTGTTCATAAACAGCAAATTTATCATGTCAAAGCCACCAAATCTTAACATTTCTGAGTCATTTCAGTTTGGAGACAAAGCCTTACCTGATGGGTTCAGCTTTTGTCTCCCTCTCCTGGTACTCAGTGATCATAACACAAACAGCCAGCCTGATGATGAATATTGGTGCAACATAATCCCCGTTAGTCATCACCAATGGCCCCCATCTTTCTCAAGACTAATGATTCCTGTATAAACACTTGTAGAGCATTTGGATTTTTTTTCCATCAGCTTGCTCTAATTGCTGTAACCCCATCATTCTTTTGTTATAAAAGTCCTGCCTCACTCTTCAGCTGAGCAGTAACTGCTGCCAGATGTAGAAGGGTCACCAAATACTCAATGCTAAATGCTGGTTCAGTGTTTGAAGTAGACAAAAGCCATTTACCGTTTAGAAAAATCAGAGACCAACTCTGTACTCCTTGAGACACTAAAATAGCAAAAAGAAATTTTAAATAGACGACTTGGTACCTTGCAATGTAGACCTCATGTCTGATTAAAGATATTTACAGTCTAGATGTGTTTTCATCCTCTTGGAAGCATGTAAATATTACTTTTGTAGTGGATGAGTTTAGGACCTGATGAAAGATAATGATTTAGTCTCATTTTTGTTAAAATTCAACTGGATCTTATGAAACTGATTCTAATTTTGTAAAACTGCAAATCATAGAATTGGTTTTGATAAATGCATATCAGATGAAATACACAAACAAACCCAATAACTCCATGCAGAGCTCTGCATCCACTCGCCCGTCCTCAGTCAGCGCGCCCAGCACCACACCATCAGCTCCTTGGTTCTTTATCAGCTCGATGTCCTTCTTCATCACCTCCACCTCCTGATCCGAGTAGAGGAAGTCTCCTCCGCGAGGCCGTATCATCACATAGACTGGGATTTTGATGTACTGCTTTACTATCTGTAGAAGACCTGCAGTAAAACAATCACAACACAGGTTATCTGAACCCAGCAGTTCACCTGTATAGAGGTGAGCTGTGCTGCTCACCTAAACTTGGGGTGAGCCCTCCCTCCAGAAGACTGGAACACAGCTCAAGCCGACTTGCACCTGTGAGGAGATTAATTTTATCAAAACATGTTTTTTATTCAAATGTCACATAAGCTCATGCATTTCATTATTTTCATCAACTTTTTAAAATCTCTCTGTGTCATCGGCGAAGGCGACTCGACTAATTTTGAAAGACCTCCGAATACATAAAGCCTATAGATACAGGTTTTAAGTTCTGTAGAGCTACTGTCAGAAATGGGATGAACACGTGACTTCCAGTTCAGGAAAACCTTTAACCTCATCAAGTAGTTGATTTTGCATACTTAGCAAAGGCAGCAGTAGACCAACTTATGAGTGTTTTACTTGACGTTACAGACCTCCTCGTTCAGCACTGACTGCAGACTCTACGGAGTCCACACACACCTCCATTAAAAAGCTCTGAGCCATAATGCAAGTCTGTTTAGACAAAAATAAAGATTTGCATGGTAGCCATGTTAGCTAATAGCTTTACAGTATTTTAAATGGCATTTTTTAAATGATACCGTGAAAGATACCTGTTTTTTTTTTCTTTCCTTTTAAAGAACAAATTGAAGTCAGGTCAGGATTTGTGTGCAAACTTCTTCAGCCAGCTTCTACAATGAATCCGCGGTTTCCGGCTGGATTGTTGAATTGTAACAAAATTACACTCCGGCGGAAGAGGCGGTGTTAAGCTTTTAGCTTGATTTGAAGTGTGCCCGCCCATGTTGAATACGCTAAAACCATGAAATTCACATCATCTTCCGGCTTGCTGTTTTACATTTTGCTTAAATAAATACATTATATTTATTCGTTCAAAATAACTGTTATTTATAGTAAGAATGTTTTTTTTAATATGAAACAAAAATTTGATTCATGAATCTTCACTTTAATCATTTTGAGCATGACGTCAAAGGGTCAAAGTTGAACAGTCGGGTGCGCGTTAGGAAAGCAGTTGTGTAACAACAACAGCTCTCTGCTGCTACTTTCCAGAGGCGCTACAGTTACACATGGGCATCGGAGAACGCTGAGGCTCAAATATGTTACTTTCCTCTTTACGGACGACAATATCTTGCGGTTGCAGATGTGCTGGCAAGAGCTTTCAGCACAGCAGCGTGAGTCAAGCTAACTTTACTTGTTACTTAGCTAACAGGTAAGACGAGGTCACAACAAAATCATTATGATAATGATTTTGTTGTGACCTCGTCACACCTAAGTTAGCTAAGTGCCATAATGATTATGGCACTTGTAAAAATATAATTTCGTCTAATAGTTTTTATTGCGTTTACTATTTGTTTTAGGTTAGAACATAAAACACACTAGTTATGTAGCAATGCCAACCTCCATTACATGTGTATGCATGCTAAATTACATCACTGACCTCCAGCCATCCATGCGTTGTTTCTAGTCAAATTAACATCATTCAGAGTCACAAAACAAGTGGCATACACGATAGAGTTGGCATACTAAAATTATCGTGGCATTAATGTTTTTAGTGTTTTTTTTTAACGTGAGAGGCAGCAGACTTGCCTCCTTAGTCTTATTCAGCAAATGTCTGGTTATTAGGGCTAGGTTAATCAGAATCATTAACACATAAATTCCTCTATAAATGTGTCTGATTGCTCTAACTAATGGTTTTTGGAGATTTGTTTTTAAATAAGTTTTAAAGGCATCAGAATACAACTTTATGTGATGACTGATACATTTTATTTTAATCTTACCCTCAAATGTCTGATATTATTTAACTAAACAATGTTTAGAACATATCATACTTTTTTCTATATTTATATTTCTGCTGAGTCAAAACAAGCATAATCTCCACTTCTTTGTTATTTTTGTGTTTCTTTGCTTGGATTAATAGTTACCAAATTTATGCAGCAGCTGGACAGGTGGATTACATTATGTCATGCTCTATCTATCTATCTATCTATCTATCTATCTATCTATCTATCTGTCTGTCTGTCTGTCTGTCTGTCTGTCTGTCTGTCTGTCTGTCTATCTATCTATCATCAGTCTGTCTGTCTGTCTGTCTGTCTGTCTGTCTGTCTGTCATCTATCTATCTATCTATCTATCTATCTATCTATCTATCTATCTATCTATCTATCTATCTATCTATTATCTATCTATCTATCTATCTATCTATCTATCTATCTATCTATCTATCTGTCTGTCTGTCTGTCTGTCTGTCTGTCTGTCTGTCTGTCTAGTTTAAAAAACAGGTTGGACATGTATTTGGAGCTTATAAAACACTGGTAATCAATAGTTGCTCTGTGGTGAGCTGAGATCACAAGTGGGTGTTGTGGGAATAATTACTTAATCCTTGTAAACACTCGGTGCTTATTGGCCAGAAGATGCTTCTTGTGTTTTTCTGGTTACATTTCAAGGATAGACATTATTCAAAACTCCTTCAACATAACTGAATACACTTTTGATATCAAGGACAGTTTATTTAGAAAATAACAGTGCTCTTTTCATTCTTTGTTTACAACAGCAGCGGAGTCTGCAGCTACGGCAGTGGTTTGTGAGGAGAAATCAAAGCACCTTAACAGTAGAGTCAGCGGTTCGCTCCAAGGCAGCAGCAGTCGTCCCCAACGCAGCCACAAACCGAATAGTGGGACGCTGGCTGATCGGCTGCAGTGGGCTGGTGGTTGGAGCTGTAGTCTTGGGTGGTGTCACAAGGTACGGAAGGATTCAAATGAATGCGTCTGTGTGTAAGTCTGACATATACTTACTTCTCTTTTTCTTTTTTTTATGTTCTAAATCAGGTTAACAGAGTCTGGGCTCTCCATGGTTGACTGGCATCTGGTGAAAGAGATGAAGCCACCTCAGTCAGAGGAGGAGTGGCAGGCAGAGTTTTCAAAGTACCAGCAATTTCCAGAGTTCAAAATGTAAACACACACACACACACACACACACACACACACACACACACACACACACACACACACACACACACACACACACACACACACACACACACACACACACACACACACACACACACACACACACACACTAACCTTTCTAGGCATGTCTTTTCTTTTAAATAGTAACATTTTCTTCTCATTCTAAGAAGATTTTAAACTCTTCTAAACTGACACATTTCATAATAGTGCAACTAAAGAGATCTAAGTGTTTTAAATAAACAAGTCATTCGGTTTTCTATACTAAATGTATTTTTACCTCCAGACTGAACCATGGAATGACTCTGTCAGAGTTTAAGTTTATCTTCTTTATGGAGTGGGGCCATCGGATGTGGGGCAGGTTGGTTGGGCTGGCATACATCCTCCCCACCATTTACTTCTGGAGAAAAGGATACTTCAATCGTTCCCTGAAAGGAAAAGTGCTTGGACTTTGCGGATTTGTTTTCTTCCAGGTAAGTCTATTCATGCATTTATATCAAGAGCCAGATAAATATTTTATCGTTATGCGGTTATTACATTTATTACTGCTATTTGTGAGCTGTAATGAAACAGCATTTGTCTTCAGGGCCTTCTGGGATGGTACATGGTAAAAAGTGGACTGGAGGATAAGCCCGAGTCTCATGACGTCCCTCGGGTGAGCCAGTACCGTCTGACTGCTCATCTTGGTTCTGCCTTGTTGCTCTACGTTGCCAGTCTCTGGACTGGACTCACCCTGCTACTGCCAGCACACAAGGTACAGAGGAAGCTGCACGTTTGCAAAACCTTTAACTTTGATCTTTCAAACCAAGCATGCAGATAATAGTTGGGATTTGTTTTTCTTTTCATTTATAAAGCCAAATCTTTTATAGATGGTAGAAACCAAACAACTCATGCAGTTCAGGAGGTTTGCCAAGGGTACCGGTGGTCTCGTCTTCCTGACTGCACTTTCAGGTACTGTTTAAAACTATGTCAATGTGATATGGCAGAATAGTCATTAGTGTGAGCATAACCACCTTTGCTTGAACACCAGTAAAACAAAGGAAATGGTGGTTGACTTCCAGAGAAACACTCCTCCTCACTCACCGGTAAACATCCAGGGAGCAGACATTGAAGTGGTGGATACCTTTAAGTACCTGGGTGTTCATCACCTTAACAGCAAACTGAACTGGTCCAACAGCACAGATGCTCTGTAAAAGAAGGGCTAAAGCCGCCTCCACCTTCTGAAGAGGCTGAGGTCCTTCAGAGTTAATTCCCAGCTGCTAAAATCCTTTTATCACTCTGTTGTTGGCTCTGTTATCCACTCTGCTGTGGTCTGTAGGGGTGCAGGCAGCTCTGACCGAGACAGGAAGAGACTGAACATGCTCGTTAACAAAGCTAGCTCGGTTCTGGGCTGCCCACTGGATTCAGTTGGGGAGATGGAGGATGCTAGGAAAGATGACTCCATCTTTAAAAAAAAAACCTTTCCACCCACTGCATTCCACTGTAAGAGACCACGGACAGCTCCTTCAGAGGCAGACTGACACATTCCAGACGTGAAATTGAACGCTACCATAGGTCATTCATCCCCTCTGCAGTTAGTGTATAACTCCTCAGTTAACTGGTACTGGCATTATCCTGGTACACAATAACATCAATGCAATACTCAGTTTGTGTTCAATACTTGTCTTCAGTACCGTATTTACCTATGGTATTTACATAGTATGTGTGTGTCCGATACAGTATGCTGCATAGTTCTTCTGGAACCAAAGTTTTTCACTTTTATTTGTGTTTTATAATTTTTTTTGTGGTCAAAGGTTGCAATACTAGTTTACTGCCTATGTATGTATATTTATAAGCACCAAAGCTTTCTATCTCTGAGAGAGCGTGTCCTGAGGTTTGTTAAAACCAAACTCCTCAGTTCAAGTTCAGTTCTGAACCAACCAAAATCTCTCCGTGGCACGAGAGTTCCCAGAGGATAAGGGTCGGCCGCTCGAAGCCTCCACCTAAATTACTATTATTATTATTATTATTATTATTATTATTACTACTATTATTATTATTATTATTATTATTATTATTATTTTAGTTATTATTTTTCTTCAAATTATTCTCACAAGTGTTGGTGCTGCTGTAACACGTGAGCTTCCTGACTGTAGGATCAGTAATGTCTATTCTATTCTGTTCCATTATATTGTAAATCTCTTCCATACTTAGGGCTGCTTTTAACCAAAATTAAAAAACAATTATTCTTGAATAATTTTCAGCTGACTACAATCACTGCCAGTTGCAGCGCTGCATGAACGGTTCTTAACGCTAGAAGGGTGTGTTGCATGACAACAGGGACGCGTAGCCGCAAAGCGTTACGCTTTGGAAGCGTTCCAGCAGGATAGGGGCACGTTCCTTATGCTTCAAGTCTGTTTTGTAAGCGCTACACCCCCAGAACACAGCTCTGCTGGCATCATAAAAAATTCTCTGTCGGAATGGTGCTAACTAAGCCTGCCCAACGTCAGAGTGCTGTGGATGGCCCAGTCTACACTTAGCTGGTCCATTGGGTGACCTGCTGAGGCTACAATGGAGAGTGGTTAATCCAACCTGCAGAGCTAAATCTTGCGAGTGCTATGGTGTGTCTCGATTTCCAGTCTAATGGGCCCGACACAGCCGGCGACCTACGGAACCTTTCGCTATCGCTTTGGTAAACTGACACATGGGAAATGACATGCAGCAGCGACACAAGCCAGCAACGCGCTCCGTTCCAGAGTCTTCCGTTGTTTGGATTGGCCGTCAGATTGGAGGGAATTTTGGGTAATTAAAGCAGTTCAGAGTTGAAAAAGCGGTAGATATGAAGTCTCACAAGGTTTTGCTAGAGTTAAGTGAAGACTTCTGACTTTACTATATAAAAATCAGTTCATCCCGTATTACAAACATCTATGAGAATATGAGACACACGGACAACCAACTCACCATGCCGCTGCCTTTTTGTTAAGATCTGGGAAATCCAACATGGAAAGTATTAACTTTTCCTCCATGTTTGCCCGGAGATGTAATGAGAAGCATCCTGTCCGCTCATTGGTCAGTCAACGAAACCTCCGGTCATTGTCCGAGAGACAGTGATGAAAAATGATGGCATCGCTGGCTCGCCTGAGCACGACACATGCACAAGCGCAAAATTTCACATGTATGTTTTTCATGTGTCACTTAGCAGGAGGAAAACCCACGATTATCGCTTTGTTGCATATGTCTCTTGATGAATGGAGGAGAGGCGATGTCGCCTCCCGTGTGTCGAGTTCATAAGAGTTATTTAAATAGGCTGGAAATCACAAGAAACACTTCAGAAGTGATGAAGGCGTTAAAGACAATAGCACAACATTATGTAATGATTTTACATTAAAGGAGCATTTTGAAATAGAATCAAGTTTGAGAAATTAAAGCAACTTCTGTGTATCTTTAGCCAAAACTTGGTATTCTGGACGTTTGATTTGTCTGATACTTTTAAGATTTACAGTTTTGTAATTTCTTTGCTAACATTTTCACACAGGTGCCTTTGTAGCAGGTTTGGATGCTGGTTTGGTGTATAACTCCTTTCCAAAGATGGCAGATAGGTGGATACCTGATGACCTGCTGGCCTTTTCCCCAACCATTAAGAACTTCTTTGAAAATCCCACCACTGTGCAGTTTGACCACAGAATTCTGGTGCAGCATCATTTACATTTTAGTATTTTATCTTAAATTCAACATTGACATTCATCTAAACTTCACATTGTCTGTTTTAGGGTATTTCTTCTTTAGCAGCAATAACGGGACTCTACTTGTTCTCAAGAAGGATGGTGCTACCTAGGAGAGCTAAGGTTGCCATTGGTCTTCTTGCAGCAATGGCCTACACTCAGGTGGGCTTTCAGACAGACATTCAGGTGTTTATGCACATGGATAAAATGCATTTCGGTCCAGCTAAACTGCATTTTTCCTGCTGTTTAGGTTGCTTTGGGTATCAGCACTCTGTTGCTTTATGTCCCCACTCCACTGGCAGCGACACACCAGTCTGGTTCTGTGGCTCTTCTCACATTTGCCATTTGGGTTCTTGCAGAACTTCGTAAAATGCCCAAGTGAATGTCCAGTTTCTTTCAGCTACACTGCAAACCTGTAAAAGCCAGACTGATAAATAAAAAGGAGACGACAGGAAAAACTGAGGAATTTCTTTATTTAATCCTGAATGTGTGAAGAATGTGTCCTCCCGCACAGTAAGGAGATGCTTCAAATGTATTTATGTGTGTTTATTTAATTTCTGTGTATAAGAATTACTGACTCACTGAATTCATTTTGATAACACATCATAAAATTATTGTTTGATAAAAGATTTCACGTTTGCTATTCCAGCACATAGAAAGACACAGAAAAGCAAAAATAAGTCATGTTTACAGTCTTGTGGGTTAACTGTGTTTGTTTAACTTTTTTTTTCAAACTTTTCCAAGTTTCTTAATAAATCATGAGTAAACCAACTCTTAAATTTCTGATTATTTTGATTATGCTGCGTCTTAATATTTTTATTCTTGAATTTATCTGTATAAGCATTTTTCTGTCTAAGTTGAAAGTGAAATGAAGTTGAAATAAAGCAAAACTAAGATGCTAAGCACCATCTTGACCTTTGTTTTTGTGTTGAGCTGCACTTGCATCTTGGATTTTTTATGAATATTACATGTTAAATATAAAGCATTATTTGTAATATATAAAATGTAAGTTATAAGCAAATATAACCTCAGTAGCCTAGTTGTAGAGTACCCGCCCAGAAACTAGATGTGGTTAAAATCCCATTTGGGTCATACTAAAGACTTAAACAATGGGACCCAATGCCTCCCTGCTTGACAGTCAGCTTTAAGAGGTTGGATTGGAGGTTTAAACTATCAAATAGTTCCTGAGCACGGCCGTGTCTGCAGCTCACCGCTCCCCATGAGGATGGGTCAAATGCGGAGAAATTTCACCCGTGTGATGATGACCAATGGGCATTTTACTTTAACAAAAGCTAAATATTAAACACATTTAACTCTGTTCAGACATTTTGTAGTTTATTTTTCTTCCCCTGGTGTTGGACAAGGATCAGACTGAACATTGGTCTGGCCTAAACTTGGAGGCTGTGGTACGGTTGTTTATGACAGTTGTAATTCCACCTTCAAGTCTGGGAAGAAGTGGGTAAGGTATTGTTACTTAATGGACTTTTAGGTAGTTTGGCTTGCTTTAAAACCCATAGAGTTTGTATGAAATCACTGTCAAACATTTCTCTCCTGGGACGTAATTTTGGGGGGGGGACGGGTGGGACATGTCCCCCCCACTTTTTCAAAAGGCAGTTTTGGTCCCCTGCACTTTTTTCCGTCCAAAAACAATGTTACGCTCCATTAAATGGATTTGGTTGAGCACTAGGACCGAAACGGAAACCGGTTTCCTATTAGACCCGCCCAAAAGCTAATCTATTGGCTCTGCTGATACTTGCTAACGTATTATTGGCTGTTGCTGCTGTCACTCAAGTTGTAAACAGTCAGAACGTGCTCACGTTGTTTTGCTAGTTTGGAGCCGCTAGGGAACACCGGTACTGAGTCACATCGTCAACTAGACGCTGTGTAATATCAGAGCTCAGCTCAGCTTCCATTACATAACATTTGAATAAGTGTTCATTTGTGAGTCTTTGGTAGTTAGGCACAGCCAGGAGGCAGCATGTCAAGAAAACGAAAAGTGGATATAAGAGACTTCTTTCAAAGTCAAAACGTAAGTTGGACATGTGACAGACCTCAGACTCACCTCCTCCTTCACACACATACTCAAAACTAACTTTTACAAACTCATCTCCTCCACATAACTGACTCCTCAGACACAATTTATTCGTATTATAATTATTTTTTTTATTATTACTATTATCATCATAATTATTATTACTAGTAGTAGTAGTAGTAGAAGTGTAACTTCAAAACTTTTATCATTTAACTTTATTGTAAACTTATCTATTGCAATGTATATGTTCACATTAAAAAGCTCTGAAAAATGAACAGTATCATCATCGTCAACAGATTTTTTAAGCTTAATGTCAAAGATGTACACTTTTCATTAGATTTATCTTATTTTTTCCATTTATTTTTTGTGTGTTGAAATGCAGCAACTGTTTAAACACTTTTAAGGGAAAAAAAATATTTAATATGTTTTTATACCTTCAAATGTTAGGGTGATGATCATGTGTAAAACATTAGTTCAGCATGTCCTCTAACACAGCAAATGAACAAACAGCCAGATCTCAGGAGGGACCGTTTATGTATAAATAATTTTTATACTTTTGACTAGGCCTGGGAAAGTAACACATTTTGCTGGACGATATTTTGTCCAACAAATTGTTGATGATAAACGATATCATTGTCAACATTATCTAGACCAAAATAACCACTAATATAATGTTAATATATCATAATAATGCAAGTACACCCTTTAAAATGCAACAAATAAACCTTCATTTAACATTGAAATGTCCAGAACCAGAACTTCTAAATGAATAAAAATAACAAACAAAAATTTAATAAAAAAGGAATCTCACTCCCTGTTAGAAAATGTTGCACCAAAAACAATAAAAAAAGACCCAAAACAATAAATACAATAGCCTGTCCATTGTCAACAGCCAAAACTGCACTTCAATAATGACAATAAATAATAATAATAATAGAGTTGTACAATTTTTTTACTTTGATATATATATATATATATATATATATATATATAGAGGATGGAAAAATTATTGAGATGGGCACGTGACGTGTCAAGGGGTCTTTACATAACACCCCCCACCCCAAATCCGCACAAGCCTACTGTGTCCCCCCCACTTCTGAAATCAAAATTTCGTCCCTGTTTCTCTCCCCCTTGACATGCACCCATCTTTTCATTCTGACCCGTATTAAAGTTTTATTTTGTTTTCCCAAGCACAATAGCATGAGCACAAGGTCTGTAGGCCTACTCTTTCAAAATTTATCCAAATATTTTTAAATCTCTGAACATTTCTTGCCAAATCTCCCAAAACACAAATTCTCACCAAAATCTCAATTTCCTCACCAAAACAGAAACTTCAAAAATCTCCCAAAAGTCAACATTTCTTGTGAAAAGTTTCTACATTTCTCAGGACAGCTGAAAAAGTCTGATAATCATTTCAAGAACCCCGTCTCTAAACTTACATAAGCTCAAATTTCTTGCCAAAATCTCTTGAAAGTCTCCAAATTTGTCAGAGAGTAAATTCGTCAGACTTTGGGTAAGAAATTTAAACTTTTGGCCAAAAGTCTTTAAATTTGTCACCGAAAGTTGCTCAATTTATCACAGAATCTCCCAAAATTCTCTACATATCTTGCAGAAATAAACTAAAATTCTGGCCTAAGTCTCCCAAAAGTCTCTACATATCTTGCTGAGAGTGTAATGACCAGACTGGAGAGACCCATGAAGACAACCGAGACACAGTAAGGCACCTTAAAGTTTTTATTATGGAACCCAGAGGAGTGTTACCAGTCTGAAGGAAGGGTATAGCAGAGGCTTGGTCAGGAGGAGAGTAGGGGTCAGAGCTGGGGAGATCAGAGTAGTTCCAAAAAGGGGCAGGCAAGAGGCAGAGTTCAGGATCCAGGTCCGAGGTCAAAAATCCAGGTAATCCAGGCACGAGATAATCCAGGCAGGGTGTAGGCAAAGGGTAACCCAAAGGTCCAGAACAAGGTCGAGTTGCGGGAGCAGAGGGTCAAGAGTGCTGGAGAATCTACTGCTTTCAATAATATGGCACTGGTTTGGTGTTGGTCCTGGTGTTTTATAGGGAGCGTTGCAGGTGGAGCTGATGAGGAGTTAATGTGAGACAGGTGGTTTTGATGAGGTTGATGGTGAGCTGGTTGTGGTTGCTGGGGAAACGGGGCTTGGCTGGAGCAGGGGCATGACAGAGAGCTCCCAAAAGTCTCCAAATTTCTCTAAGAAATGTCCCAAAAGTCTTTAAATTTCTCACAAAAAGTCGCTAAACTGGCGGTCTTTGGCTACAAAAGCTAGCTCTCTGGTGTGAAGTTGAGAGGTTAAGACTAGAAATAGTTGGACTCACCTCAATGCATGACTCTGGCTTCAGAACCAGTTTCCTCAAGAGGGGTTGGATCTTCTACCACTTTGGATTTGCTCCCACTGAGGTGCAGAGCAGGGGTGAGCATACTTCGGTCCCTCATGGGTCCTGGTACCCCATACTCCCAGAGTACCCCCCACAGAGCTCCCTGATGGACACAATTAAACACCTTCTCCAAATCCACAAAACACATGTAGATTTGTTGGGCAAACTCCCACACACCCTCCAGGACCCCCCAAGGGGTTAGAGCTGGTCCAGCGTTCCACTGCAAGGAAAAACCACATCCTACTGAATCTGAGGTTCGACATTCCGACGGAACCTCATCTGCAGAGCCCCAGAATAGACCTTTTCTGGGAAGTGTGATGCCCCTGTAGTTGGACCTCACCCTGCAGTCCCCCTTTTCAAATAGGGGGACTACTACCCTGGTCTGCTAATCCAGTGGAACTGCCCCCGATGCCACGTCAACCAACCTTAAGGAAATCTGGGCGGATCTCATCCACCCCCAGAGCCTTGCCACCAAGGAGTTTTTTTGACCACCTCAGTAACCTCAGCTCAAGAGATTGAAGAGACCAACCCTAAGTCCCCAAACTCAGCTTCCTCACTGGAAGATGTGCCGGTGGGATTGAGGAGGTCTTTGAAGTACTCCAGCCACCGATCCACAACGTTCTGAGTCGAGGTTGGCAGCACACAGTCCCCACTGTAAACAGTGGTTGTAGAACACTGCTTTCCCCTCCTGAGATGCTAGATGGTGGACCAGAGTCTTCTCAAAGCTGTACAAAGTCTTGTTCCATGGTCTCACCAAACTTCTCCCACGTCCGGGTTTTTGCCTCCGCGACCATCCGAGCTGCAATTTGCTAGGACTGCCGGTACTCATCAGCTGCCTTCAGAGTCCCACAGGCCAAAAGACCTAACAGGACAAGATTTATTAGCTTTTAAAAATTTGGATGTAAAACTACTACAAATCAGAAGTCACAATATGACACCGCAGAATCTCTTCTTTCCTAGTGTAACTGCTACGTTCCACATATTGGTTTTCTTCACATTTAATGCTCCTTTCATTCTGTGAGAGGGATTCGAAGCTTGCTAAACTCACAGCCATTTTTTCTTCACTTTTACGTGTCTAGTTTGATGATGTCTATTTGTTGAGATGTACAATTGTAGTTTGTTGTATGTTTTCACACAAAACCTAAAATAACTTTTGTCGCCTGTGGAAAATAAGCACTTTCTTGGCATCAAAATTTGTCTTCAAAATTCCTAGACATCACATGTTCAATCTATGGCACATATCAAAAGGGATCAGAAAAAATGTATCCGGTCATAGACTCCCATTCATTTTCTTGGCACTTGTGGACCCATAGTCCAAAAGTAGATGGGCCCCCTATAGCAGCTTTAACCCTTCTTTTGGTCAGACTTTTGTTTTCTATTTTTAGCTTCATCTGATAAAGTTTTTTTGATTCTTCGGAGGCTCCACCATGAAGAACATGATAATGCCAACCTTCTGTAGCTCATCCTTAGAGGTTTAAGCTTGTATTGCCGTTACTGCTTCTCACGAGACTCGTGGCTTTGCAAGATTTCAGGTCATCAGTCTGGAGAAACTCAAGTTGCAAACATGTTATTCTGCCCAGAAGGTGCGAAGGGGACTGAGAGACTTCTCACTCACACTGTAAAAGGTCGTTTTAGCACCTGGTTCAAAAAATGATTTAAAAATATGACAAAGTTTCTCAGTGTGCCTTCAAGAAAGTACTAGGAGCTTTTTGTCAATCTGCTATTCGCATCTTTAAGGTGGAGTTGGCAAAAACAAAAACCTTAACACTAAAATAAACATGTTCTCAAAAAACTAGGAGCTCCAGCTTAAATGAAGATCTTGATTTTTACATTAATAACTTAAAAACCAACATATGTGGTAATTCTAATTCAAGTTCCAGTCAATTTTTGCATAGTAGATGTGATTTTTATTGTTCTCTGTACAAAATATACACATTTTAAATATCTAATGCAACCAGAGGGCAGCTAACTAGACAGCCAGTACAACATGTTAGTAAGTTTCATTGATCCAGACACAGTACATGCGAGTTCAGACAGGTTTTAGTTGTGGTCAGAAATGGAACAAAAACAATAACAACAAAAAATAAGTAAATAAAAACATGTTAGCAGGAACGATAGCAGTCAAAACATTTATGTCCTAAAATAAACATGGAATTTTTTTTATTTTCTAAAGTAAAATCAGAAAATACAGGGTTGGAAAGGTATATTTTCACTCAAAAAAAGGGAAACATTTTTGTGCCCCCCCCCCCCCACCCCACACCCACACCCCTTATGTGCTTTGAGGGGATTAAGGAATGACTGTGGTCATGTGGTTGGTGACATTATTGCTATTCCACGTTAGACTTTCTGCACAAAATGTAATTAGTCTTTATGTTCCTCTGGTCTGAGTTAGAAGATCTGGCATGAAAATAAATGAATTACATTGTTGTAGATCGGTTTTACAGGTATACAACCTCAAATAACCCTTCAGGTAAACCAATATCTTTAATTCCACGTTGTCCAGTGGATTTTCTCCTGTTTTAACCCGCACTCTGGAGACCTGGGTTTCTTAGCTTGAGTTTCACGTACCTCTGTTATGAATATCATCTCTTTGTTATCACACAGAGACGACTGATAGGTGGGAGGGGTGGATCATGTTGGGATGAAGTAAAAGTATCCATCCCACTCTATAAACAGAGACATTATAAGTCTTCCTGAACTTTAATTAGCCTAGTTTCATGAAAATTTTGTTTGGGGGGTATTTTAATTTAGGAGTGGCAGAACCTGCTATAACCACATAACATGTCAGATCACAAAGTTCACAAATACAGTCTGAAATCTAACACATTTCCATTGGATGTGTGTGTATAGACCAGTACGACTGTGGTATTGGAGAGTTGAAATGCTTGAATGGTAAAGAGCTCATCAGCTATAGTGCAACTCCCACGCTGCACTGGCTATTATCACACCATGGGGAAGGCTATGAATATCACAACAGTCATCAGACAACTACTGCTAGGACTGTAATTGTTTTGAAGGCCAGGAAAGACTTTTCTACCAGAAGCCTAATGATGGAGGTGGGCGATGTATCTCTAGGGTTTTACCTGTAGGTCTTTCTGAAACACATGCACACGCACATACACAAAGGGTGAGGCACCTGTGAATGACTAGGAACGGCAGACAGACGAGCAGACTTTGGAGTATCTCTTTAAATAGGTAATTAGATATTAGTGACATCATCATGCGATACTGAAATCAGTTCATCGTGGAAATCAATAGCTTTAGACCACCACATGTGACGCTGGATCTTTAAATTTGTTTCTCACGCTCCTGAAGAAGTGTCTTTTTCTCTTTTGTTCACCAGATGGCCTCATTTTCAGCTTTAGAGGCAGCTCTGGGATTCCCACATGCACAGGAGGCAGGATAAGAATCACAAATCCAATTTTAAAGCATAATACTGGGGAGAAAAGTGAGTTTACACGAAGGCCAAGGGTAACTTCTCTCCCCTGGATTGGGCCTTTACAGGCGATGAAAGCTGCGCCACCAGAACCGATTATAAAAAAAATTTTTAATGCTCCAACAAATCTGGTGGGTTTGTTGAGTGCGTCGGCCACTGCAAGCCCATTTCAAGCCATCTCTGTCTTTGCTCAAGGATAAAAACTAAGTAAGGTTCAGTATGATGAGTACTGGAGCCAGGGAAACTCCGTTGTCACTTGAAAAAATGCCACCGGGGTCCAGGAGGAGGGAGAGGGCCTCGCTGCACCATCAAGATTCACAGCTCTCAACATAGACACACGTTTTTCAACCAAACACATTCACACATTCACACATTCACAAGCTTTGTATTGTCTTTTCCATGTTCCTTCCACCATCACACACCTCTCCCTCAAGCCAGCGTCTTCACTGCTCCAGATCCTTAGATGACGTTGTCAAACAGCTGCATGGACTGCATGATGTTCTCATCCTGGACAGGGACACATTCGGATGAGCAGACAACACTTTTTCTGCTAACTCAGAAGGTTCAGTCGGAGGTTAAAAGCTGTGGTTTTATTATTTATAGTGTATTTTGTAAAATATCAATACCACTCAGAGTCAGTCTTCCATGCTTGGAAGCAGAGGTAACACTTTACAATAAGAGTCTCTTTATTAATGTTAATTAGGGCATTATTATGCATTAATAAACTATCAAACAAAGTATTAACTGCTTAATATTGATGTTAATTTTAAGTAATGCATTACGAAGAAAACACACATACACCCTCCTGGCCCTTTGTTCCAACCTTAAAGAGACAATGTGAAGTTTTTACCATTAATTTCTGGAAATATCCGTCAAAATTTTGTTGAAAATGAATTAAATGATGCCCGGTTGATGAAAAATATTGGCGGGTTCATAACATATAACCATAAAAATCGGATCTAGAATACATGGGAGTGTGTCTGATGGTGTTTCTCAATGCCAAGCAACCTTGCCTTGATGTCTTGGCCCCGCCCCGGTTGCCTAGGAGATACGTCATGGGGAGCCAGCAAGATGTGTTCCAATGTTCATGTTCTACCGAGGCATGTGTTAGCTGTTTAGCTAGCTGAGCAAGGACACACGGGAGGTGTCTTGCCTTGGCCAAAAATTACCCAGAATACACCGTGGTATTTTCAAAAAGACGGAGGATCAGAAGACGGCAGCTACTTCGGGGACAAATTTCAAGTATAAAAGTAAGTCAATTAATTCAAAATGTTCTTTTTAGATCCAAAGAAGTTATTTATTGTTGGTTAGTTGCTTAGTAGTTGCAGCTTCGGTGGCTAGCGAGTAGTAACTTGCTTATATTTTTAATTTAATAAACATATACACAATTTAAAAGTAAAAGTCTTGTTATATATAATTGTTATATTGAAACTAATACATATAAAATATAACGTTATCTCCCGTGTCCCATGACGTTACGCAACCTCCGTGGAAGCAGCGGTCACGTGATGCAAGTCTGTTCCATTTAACTGTTTTCTTTGACCAAGGAAGGACAGTGTCCTTGCAAGCAAGGCGCCTGGCCTCGCAAGACATCGCCTCACAAGGCAGGCGCCTTGACATTGAGAAATATCCTAAGTCTCTGGGCAACGCCATATTAGGTGCCATGTTTACTTCTACGGGAGCCCACGAGGACAAAATGCATATACTGATTTGTAACAAATGGTTACAAAACTCTTGTCATTCTTTAATGTTGTTGTTTTACATGTTTACCTCATCACTTTTTGCCAGTAATGAAAGGGAGTCTGATGTGCTTGTTATTTTTTGCTAAAGTTAGCACTCCCCAAGGCTTTTTGACCCCTAATGGGGATCCGTTGCTAAGTTCTTACTCCAAGACAAAAATACTGCTTGTTTGCAACGATTTAGCTATCTACTGCCCCCTATTTCCAGGAAAAATGAACACGGTCACTTTAAGAACACTTGATAGTTAACAATATTGGGAATGTTAATTAAAGGGATCCTTTGTTTATTAATGCTTAATAACGCACTAAGTAACGTTAATAAGAGCACCCTTTTTGTAAAGTGTTACCGAAACAGAAAGCATGGTTGTGTTCAGAGTTCAGAAATCCACTAAGCAACATTTGATAAAATCTTAAACTGGCAAAATTAGTTTGTTTATGGACCAGATGCAAATGTCACTCCTAGACGCAGTGATTTTATTTCCTGAGCTAAGTTCATTGTCTTCTGATTCTCACTGCATGCATGACGCGGCAAAATTGCAAACACGGATATCCCACACAAATGTTAAACTATTCCTTTGGGAGCTTCGTCTAAGCTATTTTCTGCCTTACCTTTTTACAAGAATCAATGAACTCGTCTATGGTGACCACCCCGTCTTTATTTTGGTCCATTTTCTGGAGGAAAAATAAACAGCAGCAAGAGTCATTTGCTAAGATAATTTAGTCGAACGACTTTGATTTTAAAAAGGCACTGAGACAAATGAAGAAGAAAGAAAGAAAATACTGGTGAGTTTGACCTGGAAGAAGTTCTCTACGTGCTCTATTGGAGCGTCGTCCTGCATGGTGGGGTACGTGTACTTTCCCATCATGTCATAGATGGATTTCATGATGTCAAGCATCTCCTGCAAATCATGCAGCAATAGAATTAAATATTATTGGAGATGTGGAACACGTTTAAAGCAGCAATCCAAATTACCTATGATGTTTTTAGAAAATGAGGGTCTTACCCTGTTGTGTGATATAATGTAGACAAAGCATCCATTTTTTTGCTAAGCCTGTCCCACCGTCCCATAGAGCTCCGTGCAATTTTACTTGACCACCGCTCAACATAAGCCAGTGTTCGACATCTACTTACATACAGAGGTCAATGACAGAGTGTACGCGAGTGTTTGCGAAAGTACTTAGACTGAGTGATGTTTTGGAGCTATTTACAAACCACCTTCACACTTACAAAAAATACTGATTCCACGACAGCCCACTTCTACACAAAGACAGACCAAAGTAAAGACTACGGAGCAAACCTGCCGAAAAGCGTCTAAAAGTCAGACAAAGAATTTACCTAGGACCTGATTTTCAATGATGGAATGATGCCTGCAATCAATTCAGATGTCAAACATGGATATGGAAATCTTTATGTATACAGTAGTCCCTTGCTATAATGCGATTAACCCTTTGCGGCTTCACTGTTTTTTTTTTTTCATTTCTTTCCATCTGTTGACAAAAGTCATCAACGATAAATTACATTGATGAAAATCCAACCAGAAAACAGGAAAGATAAATTAACAGAAAAAAGTACCAGTCAGCAGTTGGGAGAGGCAGGACTAGAAAAGAACCAATTGGAGTCCTTATCCAGCCGCTGTTTGAACAAGCTGCCGGTAGTAGTTGAACAATTTATGTCTAAAACAAGAATATGTCCACAGCTGGGAGGACAAGCATTAAATATGACCATCTGAAAAGTCTTGGCTTGGTGAGTACACATCCAGTGTCTCTCCTGCTTTTAAAAGTTTCAGTGGTTAATGATGAGCTACAATGTAGCCACAGCTGCCCTGGGGCGCACGGACAGAGGCGAGGCTGCTGTACACAGGCGCCACCGGTCCCTCCGACCACCACCAGCAGTCAGTCGGGGTTAAGTGTCTTGCCCAAGGACACAATGACAATGACAAACTGAGTGGGGCTCGAACCTGCAACCTTCTAATTGCAGGGCGAGCACTTAACTCCCGTGCCACCATCACCCCTAAGCAGTGGTAGCAGGGGCAGGAGAGCAGTGGAATGTTGCACCCAAACCGAAGGAGTGACGCATCTGGCAGTTTTATTGTTTTTGTGGTGCTGCTATGTTGGGTGTTCTAGTGGTGATTTTGTGAGGGAAAGCATTAAGGCGGCTCACTTTGGTTAATTAGTTCAGAAAAAACTAATAAATACACCTGAAAACAATTAAGGCCTTTAGCAGAATTTTGCATGCTTTTTATTTATTTTTTAACAGCGGATTAAGAGTGTTTAAACAAGAGAGAAAAGTGTGAAAATGTGAATGTCTGTCTGAGAAAAACGTATAAAGTGTGTACTGAGGGGTTTTACCTCCTCAAAACCTCTATAATAATTGCAAAAAAATGAAGCTGGCTACAGTACCTCGCGGATTTCACCTTTCGCTGTTTGTCTTTGGAAAGTAACTCCCGTGATAAACGAGGGACCACCGTATGAATAAATGGTAAATGTCCTGTATTTGTATGACGCCTTTGTCACGGTCCGTGGTGAGCTCCCTGCACATAACCAGCTTTTCTGAATATTGTTTGCAGGTGGGCGTGTCTGAGAGTCTCCAGCTGCAGCTCATCCTGTCATCACGGTCCAGGGGATTTAAGGAGCAGTGTGACTCTTCACTTCGCCGGATGATTGCTCAATTTTGGGTTTCACTCCACACTCCACCATCTCAACACCAGCTCGGATCCCTGCACTTCATGTCACGCTGTCTCCTCCCCTGGCCGCCCGCTCTCAGCCGCTCACCTGCACCCACCAAGCCTCTACTCCTACCTCCTCTCCGATCCAACAGTTCCTCCTCCTTCTGGAGCCTTCCTGCTCACCCGGACCTGACCAATCCCTCCGGAAGTTCTCACCACTACAATCAAGTTCCATCCGGAAATCTTGCTGCCAGCCTGCCCGTCGTCTGTTCCCGTCCTTGCTCTGCAGTATATAATAAAGTCGTTTTACTTACTTACCAGTTCCTGTTTGGTGATTCTGCATGTCGTGGGTCAAAGGACTGCCGCCCGCCATGACGGAATCATCCGGCCAAGACATTGATCCCATTGCAGAATCCAACCCGTCCGCTAACGCTCCGCTCGCTGTTTCTGAGGTTCTCACACGTCATGAACACGCCATCCATGGTTTACTGGAGCAAGTCTCCGATTCCCGTCAACGTTTACTCCAGATAGACACAATGTTGCGTAATCTCACTACTCGCTTAACTCCCCCGGAACCTTCAGTTCAGCAGCCTCCAGTTTCTCTCCTGTCCGCACTTCCGGTTCCGCCTCCCACTGTAAACTTCCGGATACCAAACTCTCCTCCTTCAGAGACCTATTCCGGTGAGTTCGGCAAGTGCCGGGGTTTTCTATTTAATTGTCAATTAGCTTTCGAAAGATCACCTGAAGCTTTCATGGTAGATTCGGTCAAGATTTCTTATATTATCGGACTACTCCGTGGTAAAGCTTTAGATTGGGCTGAAGCCAGGAGCCATGACATCGGTTTTCTGCGCGGTCCGCTCTCATTATTTCTTGCTGAATTCAAGCAAACTTTTGATCACTCGGAGACCCCAGCTGAGGTAGCTAAAAGAGTGTGGAATCTCCGTCAGGGAAATCGATCTGTAGCTGATTTTGCCATAGAATTCCGCACGCTGGCAGCAACTTCATCCCTCGATCGTGGCTCATTACTGGGAGCTTTTACTCAGGGATTAAATGATCGCCTCCAGGATCAGTTGGCGTTGTGCCAAGAACCCCCCGACCTAGAAGCCCAGATCTCCTTGGCTATAAAGATCGAAAAACGTCTCAAGGAGCGTTCTAAGGGTTCTAGATTGTTGTTTCCACCGCCAACTCAAAACAGAACACCTCTGTCACCAGTCACATCTTCCTTGGGAGACGAGCCCATGCAGATTGGCAGAACCCAGCTGAGCCAGGAGGAGCGGCAACGTCGTTTCTCCGCTAACCTTTGCTTCTACTGTGGTCAATCCGGGCACAGAATCTCTAGTTGTGGCTTACGTTTAAAAGGTCAAGCCCACCAGTAGTTCCGGGATTACTGGTGGGTGGTGATGGTGGCCCAAACTCCCGATATTTGCTTTCATGTACTGTGGTGTTTAATCAGAGAAGTCGTGTGTTGAAGGCATTACTGGACTCCGGATGTGAACGTAACATGCTGGACCTATCAGTCGTTCAAGATCTGGACATTCCCACTGTTCCCCTTCCGACTCCTCTACGAGCATCATCCCTGGATGGAAACACCCTCACTACCATAACCCACCAGACCGTGCCAGTCAGCTTATTGGTGTCAGGAAACCACCAGGAAAGTATATCTTTCTTTGTTTTTCCTTCTCCTCACTCCCCCGTAGTCCTTGGATATGATTGGCTTATGACTCATAACCCACAAATAAACTGGAAAACATCCCAAGTCACTGTTTGGAGCTCCCACTGCCTAACTAATTGCCTTTGTTCTGCTTCACCTGTCTGTTCAGCACCAACAGCCGATTCACCTGTTCCCCCCGACCTGTCAGGAGTGCCGGAGGAGTATCATGACCTCTCCCTTGTGTTCAGCAAAGACCGAGCCTCTTCCCTACCTCCTCACCGACCTTACGACTGTGCCATCGATCTCCTGCCAGGCGCCACACTTCCATCTAGCAGGTTGTTTAGCCTTTCCAAACCCGAACAGCTCAGCATGTCCACCTACATTAATGAATCACTTGCATCTGGTATCATCAGACCATCCACTTCACCACTGGGAGCAGGGTTCTTTTTTGTTACCAAGAAGGATGGTTCACTTAGGCCATGCATTGATTACAGAGGGCTAAACCAAATTACGGTCAAAAACAAATATCCTCTTCCGTTATTATCATCCACATTTGAACCTGTTCAAGACGCCACCATTTTCACTAAGCTCAACCTACGCAATGCTTATCATCTCGTCCGAATCAGGGAGGGCGATGAATGGAAGACTGCTTTCAAAACTCCCCTTGGTCATTTTGAATATTTAGTCATGCCTTTCGGTCTCACTAATGCCCCAGCAGTGTTCCAATCCCTGGTCAATTCTGTTCTTGGCGATTACCTGAACCAGTTTGTCACCGTCTATCTGGATGACATTCTGATTTTTTCCAGATCCCCTGCTGAACACCGTCGACATGTCAGATGCGTACTCCAACGTCTACTGGAAAATAGGCTCTATGTAAAAGCAGAGAAGTGTGAGTTTCACGTACCCTCAGTTAAGTTCCTCGGCTTCATCCTCGAGAGCGGGCGGTTGAAGACCGATCCGGAAAAAATCAAGTCAGTTCTCTCCTGGCCTACTCCCACCACACGCAAGCAGCTTCAACGCTTCTTAGGTTTTGCAAACTTTTATCGTCATTTCATTAAAAACTACAGCCAAACTGCCACCCCTCTCACTCAGCTCACATCCATTAACAAACCCTTTATCTGGTCCCCCTCTGCTGAAGAAGCTTTCCAAGCCCTGAAGAACAAGTTCACCCAAGCACCCGTCCTGACTCGTCCTGACACTTCTGCCCAGTTCACCCTGGAAGTTGATGCCTCAGATTCTGGTGTTGGTGCAGTACTGTCACAGGTTTCCCCCTCAGATCACCGTCTCCACCCATGCGCCTTCTTCTCTCGCCGTCTCTCCCCAGCTGAGCGCAACTACGATGTCGGGGATCGGGAACTGTTGGCCATTAAACTGGCACTGGAGGAATGGCGACACTGGCTGGAGGGGGCTGAACACCCTGTCATCATATGGACTGACCACAAAAACCTGGCATACTTAAAGGAGGCTAAAAGATTGAATCCTCGACAGTCCCGCTGGTCCCTGTTTTTCTCCCGTTTCCACTTTCTCATCTCTTTCAGACCCGGTTCCAAAAACACGAAACCTGACGCTCTGCCCAGACTGTACTCATCCGACAAGGACCCCGAATCAGCTCCTATTCTGCCACCATCCTGCATCGTGGGCGCTGTGGACTGGGACATCACTAAAAAGGTTCAAGACGCCCAGCAGACTGAACCCGATCCAGGTACCAGTCCACCACAGAAGGTTTATGTCCCTACCCGTGTACGTGGTGACCTTATACACTGGGCCCACACAGCTAAGTTCTCAATCCATCCCGGGGTTGGCCGTACACTGGCTTTAATCCGTAGAACCTTCTGGTGGCCCTCCATGTATAAAGACGTCCGTGAATATATCAGTGCCTGTTCCATCTGTGCCAGAAACAAAAACAGTAATCAACCTCCAGCTGGTCTTCTCAACCCTCTTCCTATACCCACTCGCCCATGGTCCCACATAGCTTTGGATTTTGTTACCGGTTTGCCCTCTTCTAATGGTTTTTCTGTAATCCTCACCATCGTTGATCGTTTTTCTAAGTCCTGTCACCTGGTCCCTCTCAAGTCTCTCCCTACTTCTGCCGAAACAGCCAGTCTACTCATCAAACATGTCTTCCGTCTCCATGGTATTCCTGTTGAGATCTTGTCCGACCGTGGTCCCCAGTTCCTGTCCCGTGTTTGGAAGTACTTCGCCAACCACCTGGGGGCCCGTGTTGCCCTGAGCTCCGGATTCCATCCCCAGACGAACGGACAATGCGAGAGGATGAATCATGAGCTCGAAGCCATGTTGAGATGTGTGTGTTCTTCCAACCCCTCTGGATGGAGTTCCCAGCTGCCCTGGGTGGAATACGCTCACAACGCTCACACCTCTGCATCTACAGGTTTGTCCCCATTCGAAACCGTTCTGGGTTACCAGCCTCCTCTATTTCCATCCGTTCAGGACCCTCCTACCTCAGCCCCCCAGTTCATTCACCGTGCCAGGCGCACTTGGGCTCAGACCACGGCAGCTCTTCAAAGAACGGCTAAACGCAACCGCCGCCTGGCAGATCGCCACAGACGGCCCGCTCCTGTGTACGTCCCTGGGCAGAAGGTCTGGCTCTCAACCAGGGACATCCGGCTGAGGGACACCAGCAAGAAACTGGCTCCGCGGTTCATTGGCCCGTATCCTATCACTGACGTCATTAGTCCCTCCACTGTCCGCCTGGCCCTGCCTCCGTCCATGCGTGTCCACCCTGTGTTCCATGTATCCCTGCTGAAACCTGTTCTGTCCAGTCCCTTGTGTCCTGCCCCTGCTCCTCCTCCGCCTGCCCGGCTTGTCGGCGGTGGCCTGGTTTACCCGGTCCGCCGTCTCCTCGACGTCCATCCCCGAGGCAGGGGCCTCCAGTACCTGGTGGACTGGGAGGGGTATGGTCCGGAGGATCGTTCATGGGTGCCTCGCTCCTTCATCACTGATCCGGATCTCATCAGGGACTTCGAGGCCTCTCGGGCTTCCTCCTCCTCCGCCTCCTCCTCCTCTGCTCGGCCGCCAGGTGGCACCCGTTGAGGGGGGGTACTGTCACGGTCCGTGGTGAGCTCCCTGCACATAACAAGCTTTTCTGAATATTGTTTGCAGGTGGGCGTGTCTGAGAGTCTCCAGCTGCAGCTCATCCTGTCATCACGGTCCAGGGGATTTAAGGAGCAGTGTGACTCTTCTCTTCGCCGGATGATTGCTCAATTTTGGGTTTCACTCCACACTCCATCATCTCAACACCAGCTCGGATCCCTGCACTTCATGTCACGCTGTCTCCTCCCCTGGCCGCCCGCTCTCAGCCGCTCACCTGCACCCACCAAGCCTCTACTCCTACCTCCTCTCCGATCCAACAGTTCCTCCTCCTTCTGGAGCCTTCCTGCTCACCCGGACCTGACCAATCCCTCCGGAAGTTCTCACCACTACAACAATCAAGTTCCATCCGGAAATCTTGCTGCCAGCCTGCCCGTCGTCTGTTCCCGTCCTTGCTCTGCAGTATATAATAAAGTCGTTTTACTTACTTACCAGTTCCTGTTTGGTGATTCTGCATGTCGTGGGTCAAAGGACTGCCGCCCGCCATGACAGCCTTCTTATGTTCTACAGCCCCCAAGGAGCTTCACTACACAATCGGTCATCCACCCGTTCACAAGCTGGTGATGATGGGCTACATTGTAGTCACAGCTTTCCTGGGGGTCACTAATGAAATATTTGTCACTCTGAAGCATGCCTTTGTCTGGCGCCAGTGTTTTAAACTAAAATTATCTTGTGTTGTCAAAAAATTTTATTTTTAGGGCAAATCTTGAAAGCAGCATCCTAGTCTGAGCAGTGTCTACATGTAAAAGATGCCATCTATGTCAAACGTGAAAACCCCACTTTAAATGGGGGTGGGGGGGTGGGGGGTGGGTGGGTGGGGGGGGGGGGGGGGGGGGTTAGATTTCACCTTTCACCTATGATGCAGCTTTTAATCACACTCCTTAGCAGTTTCAGTCTAGGTTACACTTGCCTGCATCTAATCAACACAACTCCCTCTCAATGGAGGCCCAACGACTCATCAGGGGATGGAGAGGAGGGGTACTCAGAGTAGTTTCGGCTCGTTAAATAACAGCAGACAGTTACAGTTTATAAGCTTGACTCTCCCATATTCCAGTTAGAATTGACAAAGCTCCTCGGATGAGAAGCAAAATGTCTTCAAGAAACCAAAGAAGTCCAGTTGCCTTTATTTGAACCCTTTTGGGTTACCATACCCTGGATGACTGAGAACCTTCACCAGCATCGTCTCCACATGGCTGAGACTATCCGTGGGTTCAGGTGGCATTCCAATCTGAACAGTTTAGATTGAAAACAAAGTCATTTTAAATATTAAAAAATTTAGATCCAATAATACTCAAACTTTATTTTAGAAGAGCATCTGGCCCTCACAGCGTCTGCTGGAAAAAACTCCGTCTCTTGAACAAATTCATTTGCCTTAAATCAACCTTAAGCCGTTGCTTTCACTTCCGTATTCACGACCAAAAGCAACACCTCTCACTTGTGAATGTGCACCTCTAGCCAGCAAACAGAGCAAAACCACATTATTTTACAATTATTATTCCCATGTTATGTTGTTTATTCACATATGCATTTTAAAGACTTACTTGTTTATGAGAAAGGTCGCCAACTACGCATCTCGAATGCTCGTGCACCCTCTGTGATTGACAGCTGTTTGTAAGCAGAAAGCTATTGGTTGATGCTGAATGACCTTCAGTTCTAATTGTATGAGGCGGGTTGGCTTAGCAAATTAAATGAACGAGGTGTGGACTTCTATAAAATCTTATATAAATCCTGAAAGGGATGAAAACTCCTGATTGTAGCTTTAATATCTGTAAAATTCACAGAGTGTTTTTCTTTTTTATGTTTGCTGAGGTTGAACACTTTCAGCAAACACATCAATTGGCTCCCAAAGCTAATCAGTGGTAAATGTGCATCCAATAATTACTTTCTGAAAGTGTCATTAAAATCCATCCAGTAATATAAGAGTAACTTTGCTACCAACCAGACAAACAGTCACACAGACATATTGCATAACAATAACACCACTAACCACCTTAAAAAGTGCATAAAGATATAAAATAGTGGCAATGTAAGGCAGGCTTTTACCTCTTTGGTGATGCAGCCATCTTTGTTTAGGTCATAGAGGTTAAACGCCCAGTTTAGCCGGTCATTAATCGTCCCTCTCAGGATGATGGACAAACCAAAAACAAAATCCTGATAATAATAATAATAAAAAAAAGAGGCTTAATTTAGGTATGAACAGAAGAAGTCAAATGCTTATCACAGCCTTGGATGTGCTGGCAGGTACATGTGTCTGTGTGGATGCAGCTGCAGATTTCAGAGATATGGGGATTTGCTTTCATCCTTTCATAAAGGAGCCAGTGTATTAGAGCTCACCTCGAAACTAACCGAGCCGTTCTTGTTCGTGTCGAAGGCTTCAAACAGGAAATGTGCATACATACTTGAATCTGTAAAAGTAGAAACTTAGTTACCCGCGAGCCCTGGAAACATGAAACCTTTGAACAGCTAGGATTAGCAGCCATCTAAATATAGACTAGCTATAACAATCATTTCAAATCCAACTGGAGGCAAGTGGTTAAGATTTTATCAACCCAAATATCCAAAAATGAAAAATCGCTTTGCTTCTCTGCAGCGCACGCGCCGTGATTCATCATAGCAGATTAGAATGAGTTAATTAAAGCACATTGTATTATGATAAGGACATGGTAGTATTAACACTTTAGTGCACCTTTTTTCATTAAATAAAGACAAAGAATGGTACAGATTTAAGTATACACCCTCCGGTAGAATGAACTCACCTCCCTGAGGGAAGAACTGGGAGTAAATAGTCTTAAAGTTCTCCTCATTCACGACTCCACTCGGACACTCCTGGGACAGAAATAGTGAAATGAGAAGACTAAATGACTCTCATCCAGCAGAAAAAAAAAGATAGTTCACACCTACATTTTTGAAGCCCCTGTAGAGCACTTGCAACTCCTTCTTGGTAAATTTTGTCTGCTCCTGCAGCTTGTCCATGCTTTCAGGGCGATGGCACACGGTGGATAACTCAAAGTCATCTTCCACGCTGTCTGTGAGCGAGGGACAGGAAAGGATCAGTTAACCGTTACATCCTAGGCTTAACATGACCAAGCTATTTTATTATAGTTATTAAACTAATTATCATAAAGAATTTGTAAAATGACTTGTGGTCATTGATCTGAAAAAGGCTGCAAACCATCCTTAAAGAGTATGGACTTTTCAGTCAAACCAGTTATGTTTAAACAAGGTTGTAAAAGTTTAGGACGCCAAGATTCATATTATTATTTTTTTGGTCTCATTTCATATCACTACACTTCCTGTTTGTGTTTCCTATCCATAAACTCTTTGATAAATGTTCGAGTCATAGATTTCTTGTGTATGTTTTTAAGTTAGCCTCAACAAATGTCTTGGAGTAAAGGACTATTGATTTTGTGTGACTGTGTTTGGGTCCTCACTCCCTACTAGCCATTTGACACTACTGCATTTGTGTCCATCTTTAGTTTGTTCTCGATTACACGAACAAGCCTGAGCGCTGAGAGATGAGACTAAAATATCTTATTTAAGTGCGATGCGTGCACTGTAATGGTCAAGTTTAAAAGGCTAGTTAAAGGAATGCAACCTTTTAAAAGTGATTTACTGCAGCCATGCTTTTCATGTTGTGCCAGCAGCTTTATGTGGTCGGTAACGAGGGCTTCGTTTAGCTGTTTTATTGCACAAACTTTACAGAAATAAAAAAGTAATAGAACAATGAATTCTGAATTAAATAGCTGAACTTTAGAAAACCTTGCAAGAACATCTCTTTATGAACCAAACCTCCATAAAAAGTGAGTCACATAAAAAAACAATGACCCCAACTATACTCCATTCTGACTTTTATTTCAGTAGAAACGCTTTCGATGGAAACAAATAATCATATGAGGAAAACCTACGAGCACCCAACATTTGCTCCGTACAGAAAAAAGGAAGCATCCTTTCAATGAAAAATTGTGTTTGCCATAATTAGATTCTATTTTGAATTTGTCCAGAATGCTTAATTCATGCAGAAATACAGAAGCCTTCACAGAGCTGACACATTTCCAGGTTTTCTTTCCAACTACAACAAATGCTGCACCCCCCCAAAACCTTTCCTATGGGGTCTTAGTGAAAAATTGGGGTGGCACACCAATTTGGTCCCTGTGGGTACTCTGGGAGAGTGTAGCTGGCAGCTTTGCATCGCTCCTTCATTCTTTCTGATTGAAAACAACATGCATCCAACACATTTGCATCAAAATTGAGAAACACAAACATTTCAGAAAAAAGAAAAGTCTCACAGTTAGCGTTTTAAGTTTTGTGGTGTTAGAAATGTTTTTAAAATTAAATTTCTGATGGTTATTGTTACAAAAATATCAATAAAACTATAGGGATTTACACTTTTTATTTTTTAAATGGGTGAACTGGGTATAGACGCATTAACTCATTCATTGTCATTGACGACAAAAGTCATCATTTTAAATCCAACCGTTCATTTTTTTACTGTTTGGGCGTCGGAACGAACCCCCGCACCGTGAGAACAAACGTCCCAGCTCTAAAGCCGATCTTCATCTGCGTACGTCACGTGATCAGGAAGCAGAAAATCCATGTGTTAGGAGATCGTTTTGGGCCGCTGCTGCAAAAAAAGTGAAGAGCGAACCGGAAAACTTCTGCCGATCACAATTCAACAACAGATTATGAAAGAACGGATGACGCTCGAATTGTGCTGATTCTTCCTGATGTAAAAGGTGAGTCTACTCTTTGTTTTGTTAGTTTTGGTGTTGACATCATCATGGAGCGCAATGTTCTCTGACACTTAAAAAATTAGTAAGATCGCTGAAATACGCTGGCAGCGAAGGGCTTTACTGATCAAGTAACGGTTGGCAGTCAATGAGTTAAAGAGTGACGCCACGCGCCCCCCCCCCCCACCACCCCCCCCACCCCCCCAGCACCAGGCTGGAGGGCAAGAAGCCGGCACCTACCCGTTGACCACAGTTGTGTTTATCTGTTAGTTGTCAATAAACATAGCTAAAAAGTAGTTAAATAAAATCTACCAGCATGGTTAACACACGTAGAGATGTAGGCTGCACAAGTAAACGAAGGAAGGACATAAAATGTAACATTTTACAGGTTTCCAGCTGATAAAACACACCAAAGGCAATGGTTAAAAGCCAATTCTAGTGCACGCAAAGTCTCGTGACATAATGAAAAAGTTAAATATCTGCCCCACGTGTCCAGAAACAAACAAGTTATAGCCATCTAATGACATATAAGCTTTATGATTATGTGCGACCACGGGAGCAAGGAACAGGGGAGAACCGACTGAGCGGATCCAGCAGCTCGGTCACGGCGATTGTTCAGCGTTAACCCGCAAAACATAGAAAAGGCCCGATTACTCCTTCGGTTCAGCTGTGAGAAGTCCAGGCAGCCGTTTCTGAGGACTGAGCTCACTAGCTATTTCAAACGGATCTAGAAGCTTTATGCTAAACACTGTTAACTTTAAGATGTTTATTTTTTGTTCATCTGCACAAAGATGTGTTACATAATGTAAAGTAGTACTATCTAAATCCCAAGGTTTTATTTTATTAGCTTAAATCACAGAGATACAGCTCTGGAGATGGGGTTCTTGCCCTCCAGCTTGTGTGGATATGCACAGTTAGCCATGTAAACAACTTTCAATGGGTCTATGTAAGAAAATATACCCAGGCCAACCCTTTGTTGCACCACTGCCTATAACTAAGTAAAACATTTTGAAAAAGAAAGAAAGAAAGAAAGAAAGAAAGAAAGAAAGAAGAAAGAAAGAAAGAAGAAAGAAGAAAGAAAGAAAGAAAGAAAGAAAGAAAGAAAGAAAGAAAGAAAGAAAATTTTCTTTTATGTAGCCACAAGGCACTTCACAAAAACAAATAATTAAGACATAAATGTATACTTTGCTTATAAGATTGTCAATTTATTTTTCATAAATATGATAAGAAAACAATGTTTGTATCAAAATGTGATTAAAGTTAACAAATATCTTTGTCTGGAATGTGTGAAAATAACAAGATTGCAAAAGAAGCTGCAGAGAGGGCTGTACGAAGAAACAGAATCCTAAAAGACATCTTAAAGAGCAAGTCACCCCCAAATAAACTTTTTTTTGCTGATAAACTAAATAAACGAGTGTCTAATTGTGTTGCAGACACTGTGTAGTCAATAATTTGGCACTTCAGTGCATCTTAGTTAAAATTTAAATATTCTGCCTAAAACTGGCAGTGTTGTGCTGTTGTCAGGTAAAAACTCTGCACTGTATTTGAATTTAAATCTGCCACCGCTATTGGCTAAAGCCTGATTTATGCTTCTCCGTCTGCGTCAGTGCGGAGACACGCAACGCCATTATCTGTCCTTGCGTAGGGCTCCGGCAGGCACGCAAGTACGTACGGAGTCGAGCCCACTTTTTTAAACATCCGTCGAACGAGACGGATTACGCAAGCTTGTGATTGGTCAGGACGCCGCTGTTGTTTACAGCGCCGCCATTGCAAAGAGAGCCGAGTTTAACTAGCGGCAGACACGGAGAAGCTTGAAGAATACCTCGCGAAAAAACTCTAAAAATATGAACGTTTCATCCTCCCGTGACTGGAGGAGTGAAAAGATGCGCAGCAAGCGTTTTATTTGTGGACGGAAATGACAGGAAACATGGGTTTAGAGGTGGGAAGCGCATGAAGCGGTGGGAGAATGAGAGACAAATATGTCCGTGTTAAAAGTCTCTTATATACACAAAAAACACAATATAAACAAACAATCTTGTACCGATACATGACAGGATACCACAGAACAGCGCTACGCCCTCTGTTGTCCTGCTGGGCAATTGCTTTGCAACACTCTCCAGGAGACGGAGAAGTATGAGAGCAAAACGCTTCCGTCAATCCGTGCGTGTTTGTCCCTTGCGGAGCTGACGGAGAAGCATAAACCAGGCTTAAGAGGTATACTATGATGTAAACTGGTACATTATGATGTCACAGTGCTGTCGTGAGCCTGTGTGTTTGTGTATTTGTTAGCAGCTCCACCTTCTCGGTCTGCCAGGCAACAGCATTTGTTGCATATTTCAAATATGAAGTGGGAGTGGAGTTAGACTCTGGTAGGGGATGACTTGCTCTTTAAGACTTCAAAACACTGATGTTGCATGAGAGCTGCATTCATACCAGATGTACCAAACCAGTCACTCCAAACAAATCTATGCACACACACGCACACATACACACACACACACACACACACACACACACACACACACACACACACACACACACACACACACACACACACACACACACACACACACGCACGCACGCACGCACGCACACACACACACACACTTTGCCCAATACCACACCTTGCAAGTTCCCTAAGCAAATAGCACACCTACTTGTTGTGTTACTGACTGATTTACTGACATAATCCATACAAAATCTCTTTGAGAATCATCTCAGTTCACTAAAATAAATGTTGGAGGAAGAAAGCAGACGTGTGTGGAGAGTGAGGAAGCACTTGCTTTGACTGATTGAGGGGGCAGCCGAGGGGTTGCAGCACGGCAGCAGCGTGAGGAACCGCTGCTTTATGGTTTTTTTGCTTTTACTGGTGGGATTACCTGCAACCACCAACCACAGCACAAAGGTTAGTGACACACACAGGCGAGTCGACTGTTTTCAGACATGCCTGTGAAATGAAATAACAAAAAAGACACTGCATGCAGCAAAGCCATGTAACAATAGATGTATTCACCCTCTTAGTTTTACTGTGGAGTTGGCTCAGCAAAGGGGGACCTTGAACCTTTAATGCTTGATTTCTGACGAGCGGATAAGATACCATATGCTCAGATTTTTGTAAACGTACAGAATTGTGAAGCCTTTGGTAATGCACTTTGCCCGTCATGTTTAGAAAATACTGCTGCATCTTTGCAGATCTTCCTAATTTCCCAACACAAATTAATGCTTGAAGAAAATAGCAGTGTCAATACCACGCACAAAGCAAACCGATCAGAAAAAGCCATCGTCTCACCACACTTGAC